TACCTACTCGCAAGTGCACGTATCGAATAAGTAATATAGTGGACAATTAAGTCCGAATATCGATCCCACGAGCAATATTCAACTGTGTAATCCCAAGCACTAGATTCTCACAACTATGTTCAAGCCCACCATGCACAGTCTAATTTGGAGAAGATTAATTAAATTAAACCAAAATATTAAACGCAAATTAAATAGCAAGAAAAATAAATAAACACCAAGATTATCAAAGTAAACGAGCCTAGGATTTTATCTTCCCCTATGTGTTTATTGATCCCCCAATTCCCAAAATTATGCAAGCAAATAATTCACATTACTAACCTGAGATGCTAATTTAATCAAAAACCGCTTCCGCGTGTATTACGATTCCATTATTCATGACTAAACTACTGTATTCCTACGCAATTCAATCAAGAACAAAGTATTAAGCACAAATCTCAATAATGGCTATCCAAGAGGTTAACTATATTCATATGATAACACAACAAATGGTCTTCTACCAAAGTTCTAATTGTTGAACCGATCTTCCGATTCATGCATTCAACAATAACAATAAAGCACATAAAGTGATCAAGTTCGTGCCCTTGATAAATCAAGTAGAAGAAACAATCAAAATTAATACTAGCATAAATTCATAGAATTGGGTTCACAAATCCCACATAGGGTTCGAATAAAATCCTAGAAATAAAGACTTAGCTACTCGTAATTCTTATGATAAACAAAATAGAATTAATAAAAGAAATAAGAAAAACTATGCTTGAGTCTTCGATCTTCGTTCTTCACGTTTTGTGGTGTCAAATTTCGCCATTGGATCACATTGAATTGTGTTTATATAGTGTTAAAACTTGATCAAAAGTAAAGAGCTTCCTTGTACAATTCAAACATCCAAACTGTGCAGAATCGGGGTCTCGGACGGTCGTCTGAGTTTTCAGGCCATTCTGAAAAGGTCATCTCAATTTTCGTAGCCTACTGCTCAGCTTCGCATCATGGGACGACCGTCCCATATTTTAGTATAAATGTGGGATGGCCGTCCGAATCTTTTTCTGCACTTCGGTCGGTTTTGAATCCGATTTTGACCATGTTTGAGTCAGAATTTTGGAATGTTACGGGATATACATATTGTAGCCCTTTGAGTTAGCTATGAAGTGTCGTTTGACTCAGGTGATTTAGAGTTCGTATAAGTGAGATATGCTCGAATGGTGGATACTGCCAAAGTTGTTGCGAGATTCCTTCTTCCTATTTGCTTTATTTCCTTATTTGGAACATTTTTCTTTCTTTTTGATCATTTTTCCTTCTTAGACACTTAATTCTCGTTTTTCACCTCTAAAACACAAAAGCAATCAATTAAAGCACAAATATAATTAAATCTAAACAAAAGATCCACGTAATATACTATTGGGTATAAAATCTACACTCAACATGAAGTCGTTTGGCTTAGGAGAATTCTTTCGGATTTGCAAGAAAAGCTAGTGCAAGTTATTACTATCTTTTGTGATAACATGTTTACAATTGCAATGGCTAAAAATCCATTCTTTATGCAAGATACAAGCATATCGAGTTACGTCATCACTTCATACGTGATCTTGTTAGCGAAGGAGAAATTTCAATGGAGTTTGTTAACACCAATTATCAAGTTGTTGATTTTCTTACCAACCGTGACAATCGGGAAGTTTGAAAAGTTCAAAAAGTTTTTGAAACTTATGAATTAGAGTGGGTGTTGAAAATAATAATTCATATTTTCAATAAAAAAGTTGGAACTTCATTCCAAGATGAAGACTTGTAGAAGTTAAGAAGCTTTCTTGTAATTTATAAGGCTTTTATATTTCTTAAGAACTTGAGACTTGAAATGGAGTGTCTCTTTTTATTCATTCCTACCCGTAAACTATACCCAAGATCAGATTTTATATGCAATAACAACAACTAAAAACTAAAAATTTCTAGCACTAAAACCCTCTCTTGTTCATAAGTAATTCAATTGTTCTTCACTTAGTAAAAATCTCAACACCAGTTCTTGATGTTGTTTTCTTAACACCACACTTCCGCATATTAAAACCCCCAACATTGGCAATCCATCTATAAAAAAACACAAAAAAGGGTATTTGCATCCAAATGTTAATTTACTCAGGAAAATCTATCTATATATAATATAAAAAGAGGATATATACCCTATATGAATGACATTTGGCAAATTCCTATTTCATTTTCTCAAATCGCTTAGTTGGCATTCAATTGATGAGGTGGATTCTTAATTTGGTTAGTTTACAATTTTAATTTTGTATGTATTTAAATTCTTTCCTATTTAACATTTGTACACTCATTTAAACAATTACCACATGTATATACATTATTTCCAAATTTAATATTGTATAAATTCGAAATAAAAATATCTTATTTATATTTTCAATATTTCAAAATATATTTATTGAAAAAAGTCAGGATACTCAAAATTTTTTACGAATATTCAAACAATTTTTCAGAAAAAAAATCTTTTTTTAATATTCAAATATTAAAATAAAGGAATACAATTGTTTTTTTTTTTATTTTAATTTTCAATATTTTGGAATATTCGAATATCCATTCAATTAAAAATAATTATTATAAAAAAATGTTTTATTTTTTAATTGTACTATTTAATAAATATACATTATTTTTTGTATATAATTTCTATTATACCGTATTTCAAGTTATTCTATTATACCGTATTTCAAATAAAAAATAATTGTACTATTTAATAAATTTACAATATTTTGAAATTTTAAATTACGGTCTATTATAAATACGGTATATTACAAATTATAAATAAGGTATACATACGATAATTGTCAAAGATTGTATACATACAAATTATAAATAAGGTATACCTCACAATTAGTTGGAATTCGTTTTGTACATCGAACGACATTATTATTGGCAACACATATTCGTTATCGTTCGACACCATAAGAAATATAATAAAAGATAAGAACATAAAATAGATTATTACAGTTTGCATTTATGTTTGGTAGTTATTCTAATTTTTTTATTTTCTACGTCTTTATGTCTTTAAGGAGTATCCTAGATATATATATTTTGATTTGCGTTTGATAATATATATTTTATTAATTTCTTGATACATCTATTTATATTTGTTTTTCGTTTAAATTTTATAATCATATCATCTATCGTCGGTTTTAACAATACAGCCTCATAATTTAAATTTAACTACGCATTGTTAATTAATTTTATATATAGATTGTTCCAACTGTGTTTTATCAATTATTTTTTATATCTCCAATATATATTGTTATATACAACACGCAGTTAATATTCTCGGGGAAACAACATTTAAAATTAATAATATTTATATATTAATAGACATCAACAAGACTTAATAAACCACTAAATTTTTGAAGTATTGAAAATCGTATTACTGTTACAAAATTCAATATAGATATCTACGCATATACATGTAACATGTTAATCAATATTTTTTCCCAACAACCATATCAGGGTCCTTGAAAAACTTTCTCCACCCTGTAATCAATTCAAAGCGTATCATTCCATTATTCTTTATTGCATAAAGCTTGAGAATGTCCGGTGGATTTCCTTCGTACACAACACTTATATTCATCGTATTTGTAAACTCAGCCGCGTCAGCAAAAGGTTTGCGTATAGTTTTCATTATGCACAGTTATATTATTAATCTATTTGTTATGCGTTAATGCATAATAAACAATAACAAGCATTTATCAATGTACCATTATTCGGCGTTCGTCACATGTCATCTTGTTCTCGAATATAATTTTATTGTTGATGTGTTCACATCACCTAAACCGTACAGGTTGTCAGTTGCAAATGCCTCTCCGCCGATATTGTTATTTTGATCATAGTAGTTGTCAAACATATCGTACTCACCTTCGGAGTCGGACACTGCATGGAAAATGAAAGGTATCGCATCAAGTGAACAAAACTACACAATTACGATATATTTGCAAAATTAACGAATAAGTTATGATATATAATTACCTTCAATAATCTCAACCTTTGGTCCGTAATGCTTATATATATTTTTTCAAAATCACATTCCCGAATTGTTTGGCCGATTGCATCTGCATCTAAGTACTTAGCACCAAAACCCGACTTCTCACACCCATTCGTATTGTTAGAAATTACTTTAATATTCGATACACCAAGAAACATGAATAACCAACAGTCGTATAGCTTTAGGTTATTCCAGGGTCTTATAAAAAAAAAATCATTGTCTAGGGCAAAATTAACCCAACCATCGGTGAAGTAATAATCACCTGAATCATCCATTCTTTCCACACCTACCTTCCAACGCTTTCCATTACTAACTGTTAAACGAGCGTCCTTATTAGTCGGCAACAAGTGTTCATACTGTCTGATGAATTCTGGAGGCACACGCTGCGGGGAATACATATAAGAATATATTATAAACACTTTAATTGATATCATGATTTAAATTAGTTTCTTATCTTATATCTCACATGTACACTTTATCGATTTACGTACTCACAAGTACTTCTTATGTTTTGCAAAATGTTGGTCAGAGTATGTATGGGAGAAATGTTGGTTGGAATTATTTGATGACATGAATTAACAGACACCAAAAGCGTCATAATAATTCAGGTATATATCTAATTGAAAAACCGTAACCCATATGCGATAATTGTCGTAACGATATACTTATTATTTGTATGCTTAAATAATCCACATTCTTGGTATCACATAGCAATTTTTTTAATTTGTGCAGTGTTAAGCTTATCGGAGGACAGCTTGAAGAATTACGCCCTCATTGAGATTGAGAAAATACTGCAGAGCAATGGTATGAGTTTACGTAATTATGCACATATGCATGTACCGATACATACAACTCTAGACGACACAAAGAATAGGTTAATACTTGATGAATTGGATTACGACGTCTCTGAAATGTGTGCCGAATTTCAAAAATTCTTATCGTCTATAACACCTGACCTCAGAAAAACGTTTACGACACGATCATGAATGCACTGTCGAAGAACAGTGGAGGTATGTTTTTCCAGTACGGCCATGGGGGCAACGGGAAGACATTTATTTGGAACACACTTTCCGCCACTGTTCGTTTTGAGAAGGGCATTGTCATTAATGTTGCCTCGAGCGGTATTGCTTAATTGCTCCTTCCGGATGGTAGAACAACACATTCTAGATTTGGACTCCCGATAATTGTGCATGAGAGCTCCACTTGCAACATCAAACAACAAAGTCCTCAAACAGAGCTATTAATTGAAGCAGAACTTATTATATGGGATGAGGCCCCGATGATGCATAGGTTTTTTTAAGCATTGGACAGAACCATGCGATCGATTTTGAATTCGGAAAAACCTTTTGGTGGTAAGGTTATCGTACTTGGTGGTGACTTTAGACATATATTACATGCTGTACTTAAAGCATCGAGGCAAGACATCGTACATGCTACGATCAATTCATCACCATTGTGGAGAGAATGTCGTGTCATGAGGTTGCACAAAAAACATGAGGCTCCAGTCGGATGCATCTTCATCCAATGAAGATGAAATAAGGGAATTTGCCAAATGGATTCTGAGAACTGGAAACGGATAAGCTGGAGACTACAATGATGGTGAAGCCTCGATTGAAATTCCTGAGAACATGCTGATTCGAGATTCGGAGGATGCTTTTTCAGAGCTACTGCAGTTCGTGTATCCGGATTTGTTGAATAACATTGCCAATCATGATTTGTTCCAGGGGAGGGCCATTCTGGGGCCTACAAATGAGAGTGTTATATATGTGAACGATTATCTGTCATCACTAATTGAAGAAGAGGAAAAGGTTTACCTGAGCTCTAAAAGTTTGTGCGTGGACGAAGCAGGTTCCGAGATTAAGGCAAAAATTTATTCCACTGAGTTTCTCAATACAATATCGTGCTCCGGTCTGCCCCCGCATAAGCTATTATTAAAGAAAGGCGTTCATGTCATGCTCATTAGGAATCTCAATCAAGCGAGAGGTTTGAGCAATGGAACTCGTCTTTAAGTTGAAAGACTGGGCATGCATGTAATTAGTTGCAAGTTATTGTCCGGTCAGAATATTGGCGACGTGGTATTTATTCCTCGGATGAATTTGATACCTTCGAATTCCACATTGCCAATTAAATTTCAAAGACGACAATATCCGCTGGTTATATCATTTGCCATGACAATCAACAAAAGTCAAGGCCAAACCCTCTCGCACGTTGGATTGTACATTCCAAGGCCTATTTTCTGTCACGGTCAATTGTACTTAGCGTTGTCTCGGGTGAAGAGTAGATCTGGAATAAAGATTTTAATCAAAGGCGAATCCGGTGAGTTGTCCAGTGTTACTAGCAACGTCGTGTACAAAGAAGTATTTGAAAGAATATTAAGCTACACATTAGCAAACATATATATCAATTTTGTTTATGTTTAACGTTGTTTTTTTCAATACACTCACATATATATCAGTATTCTTTATCTACATAATGTCTTCAACTTATATATTGAAAATGATGAAAAAAAACATGTTATATGTCCTCGTATCGTATTTCTGATTGTAGTTTTGTTGTCTCCTTTAACAACATTCCGATTCATGTGCAAGACTGGTACTTGCTTTGATTTCAGTATGGGAGTTACTTGCTACATTTCTAACATGGATCGTTTTTAGAACTCTGTCAGTTTATTTTTTATGTAGACTTTTTATTGATTGATTAAGATACGAATTTTTATTTTTTTGTTCGGTTGTATTCTTGACATTCTTGGCATATTTTTTCTTTGTTGGTTTTATACATTAATTCCTTTAATGTTTTTAATTAATCCCCGTGCATCACACGGGTGAGTTACTAGTATCTATATAATATATAAAAGTTGAATTCCACCATTAATTGCTTGCCATTTGTCAATTTCAAATGGCGACATGTCCTCAATTTTATCTCATGTGCCAAATTGATTGATGAAAATAAATCATCAAAAACCACGTTATCATTATGCTTAATTTTGGAAATTTACTAATCCGATTTATGGAAATTCATTAAGTGTATAAATATAAGAAAGCATACGAATTTGGCAACTACATTGTGTTACAACTGTATAAAATTAGCTATTTATAAAAGTTTATTGATTTTATTCCTTTTATTTTTCCGTCTGATTTTTTTAATAATGTGATCTTATGCAAACACTTGATTTCGAATTATGAAACATTATATCGAATTTTTTTTGTTTACCAACATGAATGAATAAATAGAATACTAATAGGAGATATCTATAATATATTAAATGGAAGATTATAATATTGTGTTGTTTGATTAACATTTTTTCAATGGGAAAAGTGATAAATTCTAATTATTGTTTCTATGATAATGATTAATCAGTATTAATGATGTAGCGCCCCGCCCCGAGTAGCAGGCACCTCGTGGCGGAACACCACTCAACATGCAGTACATTCAATGACCCCAAATATGCTCCTCAAAATTTCGATGATCAAACATTAAACCCCCAATATCTATACCATCGTGTTAACAAAAGGAGTCTCTATTACAAGTCGACTTCGACACCACTTACTCTATTACAAAATTCTCGATCAAAGGATTCCTATACGGAACATAAATAGAGATACCTCTCGACGAGACTAATCGGAGGCATACACGAGCTTTAACTCTTAGTATGAAAATTTAGGTCTAAGTCTTTCTTTTACCTGCGCATTAATATCAGAAAGGAGAAACGAATAAGTCCGAATGACTTAGTGAAAAACATATGATCCATGAGTATGATGAGAATCAACAGAACAGAACATATAACGAGAGACTTTACAAGAATTTCATTAACAGAAGTGTAACATGTACAAGAGTGTAACATGTACGGCTTGAGTTCAATATTTGGTGGGGTCTCCAACCTTGTAACTCCCAACAAATAAAATCATATCACATCCTTGTCCCTCCACTCCGTCCCGAGTGGCCACTCGGTCGGAAACATGCAAGAGGCACGACCGGAACGTGCCGATCCGGCTCAGGAACGTTTAACTCCAAACGAACGTGAGTCCGAACCATCAGGAGGTACCATTCGGGAGACCAGTCATCGGCAGCCCAATACTGCCCGATCGTCTTGCCGAAATGGTCCTAGGGCCCAGCTCCCCCAAGAGCGTCCTCAAGGGTGGGGACAATAGGTTCAAGAATCAATATCATTCCTTTTAGGAATATCAAGTCATTCATTTCAAGAATCAATTCAAGAATCAAGTCAATCATTCACAAGATAAGTCACGATCATGATAATTGAATATCAAGTCTCAGGATAATGAACATGTTCAGATTTCAATTCAAGCCAATGAAGAATTGTCGTGAATATGGAATTCAAGAAGAACAACAAATTCCATGTAAGGTTCCAAGAACGAGTATATCAAGATCTCAATGAATTCAATAAACATGAGATTCAAGTTCGAGCCAACAAAATATTTATTCTCGGAAAGCATTTCAAGACAAGATTTTGAGAATAAATATAGTTCAATATCGATTCAAGGAAAATGTTCAGGCCAAGGAGTCAAGTATAGGAATTAGCCGTGAACATAGCAACCAAGAGAATTGACAAGTTCAAGATTTCAAGAACAAGATCAAGGTTCCAAGTTCGAGCCAAGGAAACGAATATGCTCGCAGAACATTAAGGATCATATTCCAAGAAAAATATAATCAATGCATCAAAGGATTCAAGATGGAGAATATATTTGGTTCAAACAAAGGAGATATTAAGCGCAGGAAAGAAATCGGATAAGGAGTCATAGTTTCTCACCTGGAGTCCAACGCTAGTGCTATAGAAGTGCTATAGAAGCATCTTTAAGCTTAAACCTTGAGTGAGAGCTTTACTACGCTCAACACCTATGCAAATATTAGAACTAAATAAGATTCCGAACAGTAATATAGTCATACTACCATCCACTATATGACATAGTCAATTTCTTAAACATATACTAAGAATTGATTCTCGTGGCACTCTATTCAAATAATCACTGGGATCGTCGTACTTATCCGAATGACCTAAATGATATATATAGTTAAAGATAACATTTGTATCTACAAGTTTACTGAAGACACTAATCCCAAATTAACAACATAACCCGTCCATAACAACCCCGAAAGATGAACACATAAACCTGTCAGATTTTCGGATAATTTCGTTTACTGTCACAGCCCGTTTGAAAAATCATAATAAATTGTACAGTTATCCAAATTGTCCAAATAATACATCAAATGAAACCTGACAACTTAATCTACAAGTTTCATGAAGGCACATAGCCCAAATTATGATCCCAACGTATCGAAAACAGTCCCGCAAGAAGATACTCAAGACTGCCCTGTTTCCGGCAGATTACTGTCATCGGATTCCGACCTCTAAAACACGTATATTAAATACTCTAATTCGATACAATTGAACACTTACTTATTGTTTACGATGTCCTCTACGAGTTTCCTGAAGGAACTGATTCCAAATTCGCATTCCAAACCCTTCGATTTCGGCTCCGAAAACAAGTGCGGCAGCAGATTTTGCTTCCCCAAAATCGCAGCGAGCAGGCCGACTTCTCACCAAACTCCGGCGACCAACGTCGGTGCAAGCCATCGAGCTTCACCACCAACAGAAAGGTAACATCGTAAGGTTTCTAATGATGGGACCTGATCTTCGAGATTCTACCCTTAAGGCCTCCGTTCAATTAATTCTTTGAACGACCAACCGCTGAAATTCGGGTTCTGGACTGCTCGTCTTCTTCGACCCTTTCCGACCACCACCGCGCGTCATCGCCGGTGAAATCCATCACCACAAGGAAGCTGCATCTTGAGATTTCCAACGGCACCTCCCAATCAGACGCCACTTCCATTGAATAATTAATTTGGGGCTTTCTTCTTTAAATATTTCAATTCTTCAGACCTAAACTTGGTGAATTAAGAATCCTCTCATATTACTCGAGTTTTGCTGTAAAATTTCTGCAATTCCAGCCCAAGAGCCGATAGAGGAAGAGAGGAATATAGAGAGAGAGGGAGGAAGATAGAGAGAAAGAGAGAGACGGTGAGAGAAGAGCTGGGGTGAAGAGAAGAAACGTGGCTGCCAAAGGAGGATTGTGAATTTACGATATACACGTCAATTCCTATCTCAACTGTAAGTTATGAAAATTGGCTATAAGGCCAAATACTTTTCTTAATTACCAAATAGATGCCATAACTTTAGATAATTAGAATTTCTACACTTCCCATCAAATTCGAAATATATTATAATTCCATATCGACACATATCAACTAAATAAATTCAATTATCCCCAAACTTGAACAACTTACACATTTACGGGGTGTTACACTCTTCCCTCCTTAAAAGAATCTGGTCCCCAGATTCTCAACTATTATTCGAACATGGAAATACAATTTCCTAAAATTATCTTCTTGCTCATCCGTCGCTTCTTCAACTTAGTGGTTTCTCCATAATACCTTCAAGTCTTGATCAAGGAATTCGTTATCAAGAGGAATACGGTTATGCGGTTAGTCTATAGGAGGTTGGTTCCGAAATAGGGATCAATCCCTATTTATATGATAAGTTATTCCCAAGCTACGGTTTCTTCAAGGAAGAATATCTGAGATTGATCGAAATAGTGTTAACTTAGTCCTTCAAACCTCTACGAATTATTTCCATGACAATCTGTATCTTCCCAAACTTAGAATTGACTTGGATAACGAGTCAAACTATTATCGTAACGAATTCAGAAAACACTACTTCAAATACAATATGAGGTAGTAATAATAGGAAGTACTGCTCATGGAACCCTAATATCCGCGGCACCATTAGCAATACCGTTACAGTTCATCGGTCTCATACTCGATGTAGCCTTACTGTTGAGCAAGATGCTCAATATTTATAATGTTCTAGAAGTTGAAGGCCGAGATACGGTTCGTCAACCAATTAATGGGACTTGTGAGGTACATCAACTACGAGGAAACAATCGAGTTAGGGTTGTAGCTAGGAGTGCTATAAATGGTCTGATGAGAGGAATGAAAGGGATTAATAAGGGTCTGATATCGTTCGAATCTTTAAATCTCTCCCTACTTATCCGTGTCATATTCTTCAAGAGAACGTGTTTCTTCTCCTCCGTTTCGGTCGAATCTTTGTGGTAATTAGAATTATTTATCTAGCTCCACATATGTATAACTCTTTTGACAATCTTGTGCAGGCTTTGATCTTAATTTGATAAGTCGAACTTTACCGATAGCACCTGGTATCAGTCTCCAAGCCCTTACGTTTGCCGTCGTTAGTTGTTCGTCGCTCATCTAGTCTTGAATTCCAAGCTCGATTGATACTTTATCCCAAGAACTACTGCGAAACTGTTTGTATTGTCGCTTGCTTGATAGCTGTCCTAAGTCATCACGATAATTCGCGTTATACGTTCACAAGGTTCCTTCAATGTTTTCAGTCATCCACTCACACGAGAGTTAGTTTTGAGAACGTTTCTCGTACCGAGCTGAAATTTTGTCCCATATTGCGGATAGTTGCTTCCATAACAACGAGATGATGTATAATCTATATCAAGATAATGTGAGTTAGCTACAAGAGATAGATTTCGGATCTAAATTATCTTCAGGACACAAAGAGGCAACTACTTTCCCGGTCCACAAAATTTCTCTTCTCTTTGGTCTACATAAAGTGGAATTGAATGCACCACAATTACAATCAAAGAGGACGGCGAAGCCTAATTTACTTATGGTATCAACATTGGACACTAGAAGAGCTTGATTATAGATGGCGTTCGCAAGGAAAAGGTTTTCGAACAGTAGACCGACCAGGCAACGGTTGATGGAAGAGAGCTTTACTTTTAAAATCAAGAGTAATCGAAAAATACAATCTTCCCGTGGTTTCGCAACCGCATGCCTAATAAATACTTACCGTACATAAATCATGACTCGCAATATCTGACAATTGAATAGCCTTCATTTCATTCAATTCACTACTATTTCAACATAGGTCAACTAGTCTAAGGTCATTCTTCGACACTAACCACGCTCTAATCACGTCCGAAACATTATACACACTATGTCTATTAATGTCCATGGTGAATTACTTCAACCAAACGACATGACGGGCAAAACTTATTTATAGCAAGTTGATCATGCAGGCCGAATTCTTGCACTTGTCGTTCCCAACTTACAAAGAAAAGTGCAATCGTCTACGGTGTTAATGACAAAGGTGTTCTACTTTAAACTTCTTCTCCACATAACACTTAGCTCTTGATATTAACCGAATAGAATTGCAAAAACTGAAATCCAATGTCAAGATATAGCTGACTTATCGGATACTAGGGACTCTAGAGGTGGCTCATGCAAGATTAAGACGTGACTCCCGTTGTGTAGCACTTTGTCCCGCAGGTTCAAGATGTGGCTCCCACATCGTAGCACTTTGCCCTGCATAGCACTTAGCTCCTTGTACCCTGACGATTAGATACAAGAATTCAAACCGCTCAAGATACCTTAAGAGTCAACAAACTCTATAAAATTTCTAAGTCGTGATAACTACATAACCTTTTTCCGTTGAGTAAGATCCATAAGATGATATAACAATAGATGCATACAACCGTAGTCATATGACACGACATTACCCATACAAGGTCCATACTTTTACCCTGAATTAACAATAATCATGGTCTATGAGTGAGAGGGAACAAATAGAAGCGACATAAAGAAGTCGAATCACAAGGTTTCAAAGGGATAAGAAACCTCACATAATAGGATATCCAAATCGAGAAGTATTAAATGAGATGAGGAATCTCAAAAAAGAACGGAACAAGGAAATCGAGGCATTCAAACGAGATCAAATACCTCACTCATGATCAATAGTGCGAAGGAAGTAAGATAGTCAAACAATATTGTATACAAAGAATCAGATACCTGAAAAGGTGGGTAACCGAGATGCCGAAGTATTGAAATGAGATAAGGAGTTTTGAAATGAGATACGAGATTTCCATTGTGATCAATAATAAAAATGGAACAATATATGTACAAGAATTGAATTTTGAGGCCAAAAGAACAAAAACCTCAAAATAGGTAGAAAGATTCACCCGACATTAAAATAATAACAATGGTATAGCCAAATGAAACGAGAATAGGGACCTCAAAGGTACGTGGCCAAAATCACGAGCTATTCAAGGAAATTGGAACACTGAAAATGGAGTGGTATAGATTGAGTAATTAAAGCAATATTCAAGGAAATAAAAAGTCTCGACAAATAGATTAGCCGAAACTATAGAGTGTTCAAAGAGATACAAAACCTCACAATCAGGTAGATGATCAAAGCAGATGGTAATAGAATAAAGAAAGAAGCCTCACAAGAACATGACCAAAGTCATGACGTATTCATAATAATTGGATCACTAAGGATGATGTGAACTGAATAAGAAGTCTCGGCAAATAGATAAGCCGAAACCATAGAATATTTACAAAGGATAGAAGATGGAGATGGTAGCACAATAAGGTAAGGGCTTCAAAAAAAAGATAATCCAAGCCAGGCGGAATTTGAAGGGGTACGAAACCTCATAAAATTGGTAACTAAGACTATGAGGTATTAAAATGAGATATGAAAAATCGATTACGATCAACAAATGAAATTAGACAATATAGGCTAACGAATCAAAATTGAATTCATTGGAATGATAAGGAGTGAAAAGAAAAAGGACTCCCGGATATTTGGTTCACCATAAATCAATACTCAAAATGAGATAATATGGTTTGGATAAGGAAGTCAAGTTATGAAGTAAAATGGAATGGGACGTATGCAAAAAAAAAAAAATATTACCAAATTCAAGTGAGACTAGGAACCTCACTCGTGATAAACATCAGAAAATTGGGAAAATTGGAAGTCAAATGAAGTAACCAAAAGAACCAAGAATCTCATACTGCGTCTCAGGTCGTGTATGATAGATCTTTCTACGGGGTATTCCTCACTATCTATATCACTAATAGACGCTAAAGAATTATCTCAATGCCTTTAATACTCGATTACTACCAATCTTCTCAATTTCCCAAGATTCAATTCATAGCTCTACAATTCTCAAAGATCCCTTTCCATCACCGCCCGGGCATCCAACCCAAAGCTTTACCAACCCAAAGCTTTACCAACCCAAAGCTCTGATACCACCTGTAGCGCCCCGCCCCGAGTAGCAGGCACCTCGTGGCGGAACACCACTCAACATGCAGTACATTCAATGACCCCAAATATGCTCCTCAAAATTTCGACGGTCGAAATGTTAAACCGCAATATCTATACCATCGTGTTAACAAAAGGAGTCTCTATTACAAGTCGACTTCGACACCACTTACTCTATTACAAAATTCTCGATCAAAGGATTCCTATACGGAACATAAATAGAGATACCTCTCGACGAGACTAATCGGAGGCATACACGAGCTTTAACTCTTAGTATGAAAATTTAGGTCTAAGTCTTTCTTTTACCTGCGCATTAATATCAGAAAGGAGAAACGAATAAGTCCGAATGACTTAGTGAAAAACATATGATCCATGAGTATGATGAGAATCAACAGAACAGAACATATAACGAGAGACTTTACAAGAATTTCATTAACAGAAGTGTAACATGTACAAGAGTGTAACATGTACGGCTTGAGTTCAATATTTGGTGGGGTCTCCAACCTTGTAACTCCCAACAAATAAAATCATATCACATCCTTGTCCCTCCACTCCGTCCCGAGTGGCCACTCGGTCGGAAACATGCAAGAGGCACGACCGGAACGTGCCGATCCGGCTCAGGAACGTTTAACTCCAAACGAACGTGAGTCCGAACCATCAGGAGGTACCATTCGGGAGACCAGTCATCGGCAGCCCAATACTGCCCGATCGTCTTGCCGAAATGGTCCTAGGGCCCAGCTCCCCCAAGAGCGTCCTCAAGGGTGGGGACAATAGGTTCAAGAATCAATATCATTCCTTTTAGGAATATCAAGTCATTCATTTCAAGAATCAATTCAAGAATCAAGTCAATCATTCACAAGATAAGTCACGATCATGATAATTGAATATCAAGTCTCAGGATAATGAACATGTTCAGATTTCAATTCAAGCCAATGAAGAATTGTCGTGAATATGGAATTCAAGAAGAACAACAAATTCCATGTAAGGTTCCAAGAACGAGTATATCAAGATCTCAATGAATTCAATAAACATGAGATTCAAGTTCGAGCCAACAAAATATTTATTCTCGGAAAGCATTTCAAGACAAGATTTTGAGAATAAATATAGTTCAATATCGATTCAAGGAAAATGTTCAGGCCAAGGAGTCAAGTATAGGAATTAGCCGTGAACATAGCAACCAAGAGAATTGACAAGTTCAAGATTTCAAGAACAAGATCAAGGTTCCAAGTTCGAGCCAAGGAAACGAATATGCTCGCAGAACATTAAGGATCATATTCCAAGAAAAATATAATCAATGCATCAAAGGATTCAAGATGGAGAATATATTTGGTTCAAACAAAGGAGATATTAAGCGCAGGAAAGAAATCGGATAAGGAGTCATAGTTTCTCACCTGGAGTCCAACGCTAGTGCTATAGAAGTGCTATAGAAGCATCTTTAAGCTTAAACCTTGAGTGAGAGCTTTACTACGCTCAACACCTATGCAAATATTAGAACTAAATAAGATTCCGAACAGTAATATAGTCATACTACCATCCACTATATGACATAGTCAATTTCTTAAACATATACTAAGAATTGATTCTCGTGGCACTCTATTCAAATAATCACTGGGATCGTCGTACTTATCCGAATGACCTAAATGATATATATAGTTAAAGATAACATTTGTATCTACAAGTTTACTGAAGACACTAATCCCAAATTAACAACATAACCCGTCCATAACAACCCCGAAAGATGAACACATAAACCTGTCAGATTTTCGGATAATTTCGTTTACTGTCACAGCCCGTTTGAAAAATCATAATAAATTGTACAGTTATCCAAATTGTCCAAATAATACATCAAATGAAACCTGACAACTTAATCTACAAGTTTCATGAAGGCACATAGCCCAAATTATGATCCCAACGTATCGAAAACAGTCCCGCAAGAAGATACTCAAGACTGCCCTGTTTCCGGCAGATTACTGTCATCGGATTCCGACCTCTAAAACACGTATATTAAATACTCTAATTCGATACAATTGAACACTTACTTATTGTTTACGATGTCCTCTACGAGTTTCCTGAAGGAACTGATTCCAAATTCGCATTCCAAACCCTTCGATTTCGGCTCCGAAAACAAGTGCGGCAGCAGATTTTGCTTCCCCAAAATCGCAGCGAGCAGGCCGACTTCTCACCAAACTCCGGCGACCAACGTCGGTGCAAGCCATCGAGCTTCACCACCAACAGAAAGGTAACATCGTAAGGTTTCTAATGATGGGACCTGATCTTCGAGATTCTACCCTTAAGGCCTCCGTTCAATTAATTCTTTGAACGACCAACCGCTGAAATTCGGGTTCTGGACTGCTCGTCTTCTTCGACCCTTTCCGACCACCACCGCGCGTCATCGCCGGTGAAATCCATCACCACAAGGAAGCTGCATCTTGAGATTTCCAACGGCACCTCCCAATCAGACGCCACTTCCATTGAATAATTAATTTGGGGCTTTCTTCTTTAAATATTTCAATTCTTCAGACCTAAACTTGGTGAATTAAGAATCCTCTCATATTACTCGAGTTTTGCTGTAAAATTTCTGCAATTCCAGCCCAAGAGCCGATAGAGGAAGAGAGGAATATAGAGAGAGAGGGAGGAAGATAGAGAGAAAGAGAGAGACGGTGAGAGAAGAGCTGGGGTGAAGAGAAGAAACGTGGCTGCCAAAGGAGGATTGTGAATTTACGATATACACGTCAATTCCTATCTCAACTGTAAGTTATGAAAATTGGCTATAAGGCCAAATACTTTTCTTAATTACCAAATAGATGCCATAACTTTAGATAATTACAATTTCTACACTTCCCATCAAATTCGAAATATATTATAATTCCATATCGACACATATCAACTAAATAAATTCAATTATCCCCAAACTTGAACAACTTACACATTTACGGGGTGTTACAAATGAATTTCAAGATTACATTACTATTACTAATAAAGAAACCCCTTCACAAATTTGTAATATTGCCATTGATCTCCTAAGGTAATGATATGGCTAATTGGCCCAACCCAATGGGCCTACAAATTATTTACTTACTGGACTACAAGCCCAATATCGAAGACCACTATCACCGAGGCCCAATCACCTTCAAGTAAGGTTTGGGCCCGACAATCTCGACTAAGCTATAAATAAAGTTTTGAACTCATTCCTTAAGGTACGTCCTATTATCTGAGCAATACTATTAATTGTATTCTCTGGACTATTTCTATGATCAGCACGTCTGACTTGAGCGTCGGAGGGGTTTCTGCCGGATCAACCCCGGCCTAGTTCATGTGTTCTATGATCGCAGGTATCTCAAGGTCATCAAGCTCGTGAGCCAGTGATCCACTATGCTCTTCCAGCTCATCCTACTTCAACACTCTAAGGTGATCTAACTTTAGCATCATCATTTTGGCGCCGTCTGTGGGAAGGCAGACACCATCACGTACTGCACATGATGGCCTTGAGACATTTGCTCGGAGGGAGTGTGACACTGCTAACAACCTCCCACCTCATGGAGGCTCTGGCTTGCCACTTCTTCCTCCCCATGCTCGGGATCCACCACGAGACCCTCCTCGTGATGTCCCACTAGATCCTCAACAGGATCCACTTCTTCCCGCATCTCGATCGGTTCAGAGAACCTATGAGGCCATTTAACGATAGCAAGGGTTATCGACTCCCTGGGGGTTGACAGTGCCCCCAAAACATTTCGCTCGCCAAGGGTTATCGACTCCCTGGGGGTTTACAGTGCCCCCAAAAAAATTTCGCTCGCCAAGGGTTATCGACTCCCTGGGGGTTAACAGTGCCCCCAAAACATTTCGCTCGCCAAGGGTTATCGACTCCCTGGGGGTTTACAGTGCCCCCAAAAAATTTCGCTCGCCAAGGGTTATCGACCCCCTGGGGGTTTATAGAGCCCCCAAAATATTTCGATCGCCAAGAGTTATCGACTCCCTGAGGGTTTATAGTGCCCCCAAAATATTTTGTTCGCCAAGGGTTATCGACTCTCTTGAGGTTTATAGTGCCCCAAAATATTTTGTTCGCCAAGGGTTATCGACTTCATAGAGGTTTACAGTGCCCCCAAAATATTTCTTTCGCCAAGGGTTATCGACTCCCTGGGGTTTATAGTGCTCCCAAAACATTTGGTTCGCCAAGGGTTATCGATTCCCTGGGGTTTATAGTGCCCCCAAAACAAAATGGAAAATTATCCCAAAGACGAGACATAAAAAAAAAAAAAAAGGGTTTGAGCGAGCGCGGGAACAGTACGCGTGCGCGGCAGCTCACTCTAGCCAATAGCGCGCGCGCGTCAGAAACAAAAAAGAGAAAAGGAAAAAGAGAGAAGAAGAAGAAAAAAGAAAAGAGAAGAAGAATAAAAAATAAAATAAAAAAGGGAAAGAACAAACACGCGTCAGCACGCGCAAATCCCAGAACGCGCGCATCAGGCCGCGCGAATATACAAAAAAAAAAAAAAAAAGGAAAATCGCGTGCGCAGCACTCGCGCGTGAGACCACGCGCCAAGCGCGCGGCCAGGAGGATGGCGCGCGCACGTCAAAGGAAATAAAAAAAAATAAAAAAAAGAAAAAAAAGAAAAAAAAAAAAGAAAAAGGGCAGCAGCACAACACGTGGAGGTCATCAACCCACCTCCCATCACCTCTCTTCAACATCACATCGCATAGTCAATTTCTCCCCTCTCTCACCTTCTCGGGCTCCGTGCCGGCTCCCCCACTCACAGCATGCGCGCGGCTCCCTATGCCACCCATCAAATCGCGCGCTCCCCTACACCTCAAATCGCGCGCGCGTAAGCTACTACCCATCAACTCGCGTGCGCCTCCACTCTACTCATCTAATTGCGTGCAAATTTTACTATTCTCCACCAAATCGCGCGTATATTTTGACACGCTTCACCAAATTGCTCGCGAATTGCAACACGCTCCACCAAATCGCGTGCAGATTTCACCTTGCTTAACTAAATCGTACGAGAATTTCAACGCACTCTACCAAATCGTGTGCGATCTCAAATAAAAATTATTATTTCTTCACGCCACAACAACAGTTAGTGGAACACTACAACACCGACCTACCCTCGACGCGATTCGGTATCTTTTTCGACTAGGCTCGCACATCGATTCGAGAGTGGGGGGCTTGCGAGACAACTCCCACGAGGAGAAAAATTGCTCGAAACTACCAACCCACAGCGAGACAACTCCCACGAGGAGCCAACTTACTCGTTACTACGAACCCGTAGCGAGACAACTCCCACGAGGAGCCAACTCGCTCGGTCCTACAACCCGTTGCGAGGCAACTCCCACAAGGAGCCAACTCCCTCGGGTCTACGAAACCACAGCGAGATAACTCCCACGAGGAGACCACTCGCTCGGTACTACAACCCGCAGCGAGACAACTCCCACGAGGAGCCAACTCGCTCGGTACCACAACCCGCAGCGAGACAACTCCCACGAGGAGCCAACTCGCTTGGCACTAAAAATCCGTTGCAAGACAACTCCCACGTGCAGCCACCTCACTCGATAAAAAGACTCGCTGCAAGACAATTCCCACGAGGAGACAACTCGCTCTGAGTGACCTCAATCCGCACGCTACTCAGTTGCGCGTCATCCAATGCTCCTACAACTTCGCTGCAAGATAAATCTCTCAATGAGACAACTCGCTCGCAATTCACTACACAATCGCACGCTCAAGTTAGCACGATTACAACCTTAGAGACACTTAGAGATATTATGGGAATCTATATAGCCTGGCCAGCTTGATTACTCAAATTTCTCTACTTGCTTTCGACGGGTCCTTCATTAAAACGTGGTCACGGTCCAAACATACTTACAACCTACGAGGTCTAACAAGGGGCACGATCCCCATAAAAAAATCTTGAGAGCTTGATCCCCTCCTCAAGTACATCACGCACAAGGCTATATGTAAACACATACTAGCAACGCGTCGAAACATTGACAATGTCAATAAATAACAACTCCCACGAGGAGATTACTTGATCCGTGCTACTACATTATCGCGAGACAACTCCCACGAGGAGATAACTCGATCAACTCTATTACCCCCGACGAGACAACTCCCACGAGGAGATAATTCGCTGCTACATCGTCGCGGGACAACACCGACAACTCAAGTAACTTACATCGCGACAACTTGATCGCGCTACGCGCCAACGCGCCTTCACGCCCCTCCGACACATGCTCCAACGCGTTTTCGCACACCATCAGGCCATATGCCAAAGAAAGACCACTACAATTTTTACTCTCGACACGATCGAGAACCCATTTCGACATGGCCCCCACATCGACTCGAGAGTGGGGGGCTTAATGATATGTCTAATTGGCCCAACCCAATGGGCCTACAAATTATTTACCTACTGGGCCACGAGCCCAATATCGAAGACCACTATCACCGAGGCTCAATCACCTTCAAGTAAGGTTTGGGCCCGACAATCTCGACTAAGCTATAAATAAATGTTTGAACTCATTCCTTAAGGTACGTCCTATTATCGGAGCAGTACTATTAATTGTATTCTCTGGACTATTTCTATGATCAACACCTCCCACTTGAGCGTCGGAGGGGTTTCCGCCGGATCAACCCCCGGCCTAGTTCATGTGTTCTATGATCGCAGGTATCTCAAGGTCATCAAGCTCGTGAGCCAGTGATCCACTATGCTCTTCCAGCTCATCCTACTTCAACACTCTAAGGTGATCTAACTTTAGCATCATCAGGTAATTATGTCTTCAAATAATAGCATAAAGAAATGCCAAATCACAAACGGTAGAATAGTTTTTTCAGAAATATATCCTTAATTTAAAAAAAATCCATGCAAAGTTACTGTGTAAAGGGGTTGGTTAAAGACAAAAACAAACATTATGAAGATTTTGATAATTACGAATAGGGGGAGTGTTTTTTCGTTTGTAGCCTAACTTCAGGAAATGTTTCGTAATTTACCCTAAAAATTATAATTTATTACTTATCATAAGATTTGATGACTTGAGTATCATTGCATTTTTTTTTTTCGAAATTTGTTCTACAAACAATCTTTAAATTGCAAGATACTATAATTGTTTTTTAATTATGCCGATTATTCATTTGCAAAATACTAGAAGTTTATAAATTTTTATTTCCTAAAACTTATCATCTGCGGTTTCCTGCGGCCATGGAAGAACGGTAGGATTCTAATGAAAATGTGCGGGCTGATATTTCACATACACAATTGCGTAAATTGGAGGAAAACCACAAAAACGATGAGCGGATCAAAACTATGGAGGTCCATTTGGATGGAGGGATTTGGGGAGGGATTTGATTTGGGGAATGGATTTGAAATGACTCCAATTTTGGAGTCATTTGAAATCCATCACTATTGCTCCAAAAACAACTAAAAAGGAGGGGTGGGGATTTGAAATCCATCTCCAAATCCTTCAATCCAAACAAGTCCGAGGGATTTGTTATTATGGATTTGAAATCCCTCCCCCAAATCCCTCCATCCAAATGCACCCTGGGAGAATTGAAGGCACTAAGGGGAGTCACAGATGAATGGCACAAAATATGATATCCGTATTTAATTCCTCTATATTTTATTTTTGTTGTTCTTCTAAAATAATTTAACTATGTCGAGTTAAAGTTTCTAAAGATTACACAACATGTTAGCTAACAAACATATGTTTATAAAATCAATAGCGATATTAGATTTTTTTTTAATATTAACCTTCAAATTATTATATCTATATCTTCGTTGCTCTTGATTAGCAAATTGAAGTACATTACTATCTATCCCCTCTTTTAAATTCATTTAAATCATCATGCGTGGAGAGATATCACGCAAATAATGAATTAATACAATCTTAAACATCATATGACATCA